TAGCAAAGCACTGGCTCCCCTCTGCCAAGTTTTTCCTCTCCACTGTCGCTACAAGCATGCTTAGTGTGAGGGATTGCTGAAGAGTCAATGAGTCGATGCAATCAGCTGGTTTTCCTTAGATAGAAAACTTGATGATCTGGTTGAACTGTAAAGTGCCTTGAGATGACTTGTGTTGTGAATTGGAGCTATAGAAATAAACTGAATTGAATTGAAATGCCACGATAATCACATTTAATGAGTTTTCATGCTAATTAAGGCCTTAATTCAATAAATACTAATTTATTGACTTTTAATGATTTTTAATGACCTGCATCTTTCATGGGGCCCCAAATTTCTGGTGGCCCCCCTGTCGCTGCTACTTATCAAGCTTTTACCAGCCTGTTATTTTTTTCCGGTTTCTTTTGAACAGCTGATCAGGGCATGAAAGTTTTTAAGTATCTGAAACTTGACTTTTCGCAGCCCTGCAGCGTCTTGTCATTCCAGCTCTGAGGTGCAGGTGAGATCCATGTCAGACTGTCAGACGTGGCGTTATTCTCTCCACTGCTTGGCTGTGTTAAAACCATTTTCAGAAATCTGAAATTTGGGACATTTTACATGAAGAATATTAGCCTGAGGGTTCAATTTATTTCATTTTTTCTTTAATCCGAGTGTCTAAATTCTGAGTGATCAAATAAAAAAAGAAGCTTTGATGTTTTTCCTTTTTTTTCTTCAACTTCTTAAATCCAAACATTAAAAAAATTAAAAGCTAAGATGAGGAAACATACGGGGATGTATGGCATGGATCTTTGTATAGCAGCATTAGTTTACATCAGAATGTAGGTGGTAAGAAAAGACAGATAATGCCTTGCAGCATAAACTGTACATCCAAGGTTTCCGATTCCAGGAGAGAAGACATTTTATCCTTCCTGTTGCTGCTGCAGAGCGGCGGTGGGGAGAAGAAAGCTCTGATGTCCCTCCCACCGCCTCATGTCGGTGTGTTTGAAAGGCCTTTGGTGAAATGTAAAAACACAAAAATCCGGCATGTTTGTTGAGCTCCCAGTGTTTACGCCCCGCCGTAGCAACATCACCGGCTCCAGGATCAATCCCTGCCGCTCCCATTCTCATTTTAATAGCTCCTGTTTTTTTATTTGAAGGATGTGACACCTGCGGTCTTCAGCCGGTGCAGCAGTCAAGCTTTGCATCACATACATGTGTGAACGTGTGTGTGAGGCCTCGTGTAACGATCACTGCTAATCCTTAGCAGCGGATATGTTTCCTCCTATTAAACGTTGTTGATGAAAACAGGAACGATGCTGCAGGTCTGAGTCTACTGCTGGGGAACCAGCATATCAGACACCCTGAAGAGCTGCAGTCAGTCGGGGATGTTTGTCTTTATTTATTTTCTTTAGTGAACTATCAGAGGTTTGATCAGAGGCTTATTTATACCCCTAATAAAAATAATATTGACACACTGACACAGATTCGTAGCTTTTAGAGGACGTTTGATCTGTTGTAGCAAAAAACAAACAAACAAAAAAATAACAATGCAAAAATATGTCTAAAGTCAGAGGTGGTTAAAGGAATA